CACACACACACACACACACACACACACACACACACACACACACACACACACACACACACACACACACACACACACACACACACACACACACACACACACACACACACACACACACACACACACACACACACACACACACACACACACACACACACACACACACACACACACACACACACACACACACACACACACACACACACACACACACACACACACACACACACACACACACACACACACACACACACACACACACACACACACACACACACACACACACACACACACACACACACACACACACACACACACACACACACACACACACACACACACACACACACACACACACACACACACACACACACACACACACACACACACACACACACACACACACACACACACACACACACACACACACACACACACACACACACACACACACACACACACACACACACACACACACACACACACACACACACACACACACACACACACACACACACACACACACACACACACACACACACACACACACACACACACACACACACACACACACACACACACACACACACACACACACACAGCGGGTGAAGAGAGCAGCATGCGAGAGTACGACCTGAAAGAGAAGCCCCCGTCGCACGCTGCCTTGCCCCTCGCACTCCATCTCCCGGCCACAGATAAAACTGCCAAACCTTCAAGTCTAGACGCTTTAAAGAGGTGAATCTCACGAATTATACAAAATACAAACATATATGGGTGCGTGTATATACATGTATTACACAATTGTCTACTTGTGTATGAAATTACTATTTATATGCAATAAATAGCAATGATTATTGGGTATATTATCATCCATAAATGTAAGGGTTTTAGGTAAAATTATGGTTCAAACAAGCACCCTAATCTTTTTAATGTCGGTTTGCTGTGGTAGCCGTCTCAGAAATGGGTAGGTCTTATCATTAACGATGAAACACTTAGGTATCGATGCCAATATTACTAACCTCTTTTTGCCTAAGCCGACACGGTCAAGTTCTACGTGCCGGTACGTGGCGTAAGTGGCCATTTCTGCGTAAACCTGCACACCTGCAGTGCACGTTCACCACACCAGTTTCCTGCAACACGCGTGGCGACCTTGCCTATCCAACTTCAAAGAGGCTTTTGCTTATATCTTCAAATATTTTTCTCTTCCCCTCTCTTTCGATGTTGCCACGAACACGGAATATGACGTACACCCTTTGTTTCCCTTGTTGGTTTCAATGACCTTTTCTATTTCACACTACAAAAAGGTCAGAATTGCTGCTGCACTTGAAGCCGGTACGGCCACCACCACAGATCCTGCAGAAATTTCCGTGAGTTTCCAGTCCACCAATAACCAGTTCGCTTTTAGCATTCTTTCTTCTTCCATCTGAACTATGTGTCTTTACTCTACCATCACTGCTTCAACAGATCCACTGAAACAGGGATGTCTCGGAGGAACGATAAACTAAATTGTATATAAATATACGGTTTCAAGAGGAAGAGGTCAGGGATCTTTCCCGGGCGGCGCCGAGACCTGGTCTGAGACTCCGGCGTCACGGCCGTGGATTATATGTCCACCCCCTTACTCCACTCCCCCATCTTTCCTCCCCATCCCCCACCCTCGAGTCACCGTTTCCTCACCCACGACAGCTCACCTGGCGCCAGGGAAGGATGCGACTACTGGTACTAAATCAAATATGCACACACACACACACACACACACGCGTTCTCACACACACACACACACACACACATGTTCTCTCACACACACACACACACACACACGTTCTCTCACACACACACGTTCTCACACACACACACGTTCTCACACACACACACGTTCTCACACACACACACGTTCTCACACACACACACGCACACACACATGTTCTCTCACACACACATGTTCTCTCACACACACACGTTCTCTCACACACACACACACACACACACACGTTCTCACACACACACACACACACACACACACACACACACACACACACACGTTCTCTCACACACACACACACACACACACACATGTTCTCTCACACACACACACACACACATGTTCTCTCACACACACACACACACACACACGTTCTCACACACACACACACACACGTTCTCACACACACACACGTTCTCACACACACACACGTTCTCACACACACACACGTTCTCACACACACACACGTTCTCACACACACACACACGCACACACACACACGTTCTCTCTCTCACACACACACACACACACACACACACACACACACACACACACACACACACACACACACACACACGTTCTCTCACACACACACACGTTCTCACACACACACACACGTTCTCACACACACACACGTTCTCACACACACACACGTTCTCACACACACACACGCACACACACATGTTCTCTCACACACACATGTTCTCTCACACACACACGTTCTCTCACACACACACACACACACGTTCTCACACACACACACACACACACACACATACACACACACACACGTTCTCTCACACACACACACACACACACATGTTCTCTCACACACACACACACACACACATGTTCTCTCACACACACACACACACACACACGTTCTCACACACACACACACACACGTTCTCACACACACACACGTTCTCACACACACACACGTTCTCACACACACACACGTTCTCACACACACACACACGCACACACACACACGTTCTCTCTCTCTCACACACACACACACACACACACACACACACACACACACACACACACACACACACACACGTTCTCTCACACACACACACGTTCTCACACACACACACACGTTCTCACACACACACACACGTTCTCACACACACACACACACACACACACACACACGTTCTCACACACACACACACACACACACACACACACGTTCTCACACACACACACACACACACACGTTCTCACACACACACACACACACACGTTCTCACACACACACACACACACACGTTCTCACACACACACACACACACACGTTCTCACACACACACACACACACACGTTCTCACACACACACACACACACACACACGTTCTCACACACACACACACACGTTCTCACACACACACACACACACACACGTTCTCACACACACACACACACACACACACGTTCTCACACACACACACACACACACACACGTTCTCACACACACACACACACACGTTCTCACACACACACACACACACGTTCTCACACACACACACACACGTTCTCACACACACACACACACACGTTCTCACACACACACACACACACACGTTCTCACACACACACACACACACGTTCTCACACACACACACACACACACACACACACACACACACACACACACACACACACACACACACACACACAATTTTGTTTAGCAACGGTGGCTTTGTAATGAAGGACCAAAAACGATGTAATAAAATGAGATAGTAACAAATCTACAGAATCTTATTAGCCCGCAGGAAATAAAATGCTCGCTAAACAAGTTATCACTTACTCGAAATAATTTGTTTTGTAGGGCGTTTAGATTATTAGCGCCTAATCTGCAGTTATGAATTAATTCTATGAATGCATTTAATGTCCAAGCTCCGATAACAAAGCCCTACAAAATTGATTACTGATGCACAACTAGACACCAACTCCACTTTCTTTGCCGCTTTCGCCAACGGAACGGACTCGCACCTGCGTATAATCTGACAAACCCATTCATAGGTGCGGGATCAAAATAATAATTGTTCCCTGTAAATATGAAGAAAAAAATGCAAATCGGATAAAAAATACGCATTTAAACTCGGCAAGTAGTCCCGAGTGGGATTAAGGTAACTATAAAAACTGAGAACTAATAAACTGTTTATCGTGAGAACTAACTGGACCTATCCTTGGACAGTTTTAATTCATTCATATTGTATCAAGTTGCATGAATCAAAAAATAGAACATTTAAGGACGCCACGCAGAAAGAAAAATCTTGCAATTTACAATCTTCCACAGTGAACTAGAACCACGCCACAACAGAACTCGGTCACAACCTACTCAGGCAGGCCGGTGGGAAGGGTAAGGAAGGGCGGTAACGAAAGGAAGACGATAGGATAATAACCGGATGGAGAGGACCACTGGGCGGTAGAGGGGCATGGTCGGGACATGGTCGGAACACGGCCGGAAGAGCGAGCGTGTGCTGAAAACAAAAACACCCTAAGTCCCTCCACGCGCTCGCACTCCACGCTTCGCGTAAGGGCTCCTTGCGGTCATCTGCCGAAGCCGAGGGAGCAGAACTTGGCACCGTAAGTGTCTTGCGCTTGTAAACACGACGCACGGGAAAGAAATGAAAGAGGAGATAAAGCAAGATGCCAACTGAGTAAAGCAGAAGCTATGCAAAAAGTTATGTTATACCTTCTGAAAAGCGAGGAATAAATACTACTCTCCTAGAGGGTTGGAGAACAAAACAAGCAGAGAAATTACACAGGCGATTGAATTGGAAAGACAGAAACTAATGAAGGTTCTAATGAGATCCTATATCATCACTGCAGAAGCGATACTAAATAAACTAGGAAAAAAACACTAGTGAATACCCATAAAAGAAATCGACTCAAAACTATGGCTGAGTAACAATAACGAGATGAAGCGAGCCTGATTTAAAACTAGCATTTACTTGACAAGAATATATCCTAATTTAATCAGTTCAATTCTTTTTATTATTAGTTTTAAGATTCACAACGAAGCCTATTAGACAGATGTATCTGACATTTGGTTTGCCCATGAACTATTCGAAATAATAAAATTAATAAGAAAATAAGCATAATTCTTATTAAAGTATTTGGTAACATTAACATATACATACGGTCAGTTATTCAACAATTCACATTCATTTTATATCCATCTCTTATTCTTTAAAAATAAATGACCGAACTGGATTAAAAACAAAATTCACTTTGGCGGCGAATTCGAATCTAGATTACGTGCAGTCTTCGTGGAAGATTTGTGGCTATAAGCGCCGTGCCGAGCATGCCTCTCATCTGCCGATTTGCCCGCTCCTATTCCGTGATCCGCTGCTAGTTGAAACCCTTGCCAGTCTTCCCTCAGTCTGCCAGGACCGAGGCTAAGACAGGTCGTCCCATGAAAGGCTTCCATGACATGCGAAACAAGTAGCACCAGTACCTATTCACATGTCCTTTTCTTCGAACTCTAACGAGACCGACAGTTCTTATTTTCCTTCCGTTCTCTGGGTGCCTTCTACGGTTTCTCTCCATTATCATTCTTTAGTGTCTAGTATCTATTCCCCATTCCCTTCTTAAAAGTGCTAAACAGGTTCGCCAGTTCAGTTTATCACGGTAAAGAAGTTGTAGGAATTCATTAATCGCGATATTTCCAAAAATGTAAAGTACTGGAAAAGAACGCTGAAGAATAATTCTAATTATAATAACTACCTTTTCAGTTCCAACAATGTAAGCGAGAGAAAAAAATCGAAAATTTCGTTTTTAAATATGCCAATGCTGTGAAATTTTACTTTATCCTCATCAAAAACGATAACAATTTGCGATGTACGAAGTAATTTAACTCATGAAAGATCTGATTCAAGAATGGAAGTCAAAACTGTTACAGCGTACAAAATGTATTTATATCTCTGTGGCTTAAGGGGACTTTGCAGGCAGATAATGATCAGCAGCCTGTCTTTGGTGTTATGCCTGACCTTGGTTGTAACAACGAAAATCAAAATTGATATTTTAAAAATATATATATCATAAAAAACACCGTAAGAAGATACGTGATTTAACAGAATTCCGAGCCCGGTCTCCATTTATTATCGTTTTATATAGTCAGGATCTTCAAAGTTCCCTGAGTTGAGTGTTGCCAGAACTATAACCAGATCCCCTTAAAAGGAGGTCGCATGGCACTTCCCAAGCAACCCAGAGACCTTGCGCACAAGCAATGGATGGGGGCGAGTTTGGGTTAATTCACATTTTCCCCTAAAATATGCAATAACCCCAATGAGCCCTCTATCGACCTATCCTTTAAGGCTTCATTTGCAAGTCGAGAAATAGCATTATCTCACTATTAAAAAAAAAAACATTCAAGTAAAATCCATATCTGTCCTTCAAAGAATCCTGCTTTACTTTTTCGTGATTTCCATGCAACTTTTTCTTCCCCGTCTCATTCTCAAAGTTGCCGTTTCATCTTCTAATCAAAAATAATTGTCAGTCACATGAAATATAAAATATACTGTTCACAGACGTTGTCATTACTAAGATTGTCACAGTAAGAAAAAAGAGAATGTCAAATCTAAAAATGGCAAGACACGTCTAAGATCCTGCGAGACAAAGCCGACACGCTCCGCTGGTCTTCCGCTATTCTAGCTAGTCATCGTAGCTCATTACAGGTTCCGGCGTACTCATTCATCTCGGTGCTGATACAGCCCAATTCGATATCAGCTACTTCACGGACAATCACTGAGCGAGGTGAAGCATTTGACTCATGGTGAGAATGGGATTATATTTTTTTTTCTCAGAAAGCAGCAAGAAAACGACAGGAAGCGGCTGCTGCTTGCGATTTGCTCACTCCCCCTCCTTGACTCAGCTGATGTAATTACAAATGGACATTCCGAATGACTATAGCAGCACGCGCTGACGCAAAGGTTTCTTAAAAATAATTCGAATGGAAGAATGGCGAATCATTCTGCACAATCAATTTTGATTCCCTAAATGATTTTTGAATGCACAAGCCTAATTCCGAATGGGAAAGTCACAAACGATGAAAGAGACCGGACTAACAAACTACAAGAAACAAAGCAAGACAAATACTTTCCAAATTGTTACCACAGCTGTAAAAGAGTAACTAATTAGCCATTAGTCATTTCTTGCCAGTTATAATAAGGAATTACAACTATAAAAGGCAAGACAGTCATATAAACAAGCACATTAACAATGACAAAAATAGAATCAGTTTACATGAAAATACAATGTATGTTATAAATCGTGTAGGATTTACGTCGAAAGAAGTGGGAGATCACATACCAATTACATACTACACATTCGCGCATATGCATACACAACCTCACAAATTTACATATGCATAAAGAACTAGCAAAAGGTGTACAAGGTTACGAAAGAGCAGTGCGGTGTATGGAACGCGGGAGGAAATAATAATAGGCCGAGTAATAAAAACTGTTCACGGAAAAACACCTGTGAGCTTGAGTGGCCAAGCTTGACGGAACACCTGCCCGAGAACCAGGGAGGGAAAGGGTAGGCTACACAGATGGACGAGGAACAATAGAGGATGTTGTAATGGAGAACGTGTAAAGAAAGTTTAAAATACCTAAAACGGCTAGAAATTAAATCGACAGACTAGTGCTATGCAAATTCGATACGGAAGCAATAAGGGACATGAGCATGTAAATCTGACAGGTTTCGATATTAATATACTAAGGTTAGGTATCAAGAAAGTGGGATGGTCAATCGCAGGAAGGGAAAGAGAAAAGACAGAGGCCCACAAAAGATAGGGCCGGGTGGAAATGGGATGAAATAAAGCATGAAACGTCGGTGAAGAGCCCGCTTCTTTATAACCAAGTGCACAGTCACTTCCTGGTCATTGTGAAAACGTTTAGCTGTTTTAGCAGGGCACTGCATGACGAAACGAAAACTCCACAAGAGTACTAGTGAGACGATCGTTGACCCTCTTCGCACATGCCCCCCCTAAAAAAATGAAAATAAAACGCTCGAAAGACTAAACAGGTATAAGGGTTTTTTTTTTAAGTCGAACGTTTTCTCCATTACCTTCCTTTAGCGAAATTAAGTATGCATATTGGAATATACTAAGGGCTTAATATTTTCGGCCATGATCATGTTACTCATGCAAATAGCACATGGTAATACAACAGTAAACAGAGATCCAACGATTTATTTCACACAAAAGAGTGTCATGTGTACAATGTGAATAGAGTCGCCAAACAAGCAGTAAACTAAGTGCAGTCCCAGTAAGTTAAAGATTATGCTTGAGGCGAAAACGCAACTTCAGTTCGAAGTATTCAACCTATTTTCTTCACATTTATTTGTTTACACGGAGATCGCCTGTGGATTGAATGTTGCGCTTCGGTAGATATAGATTCTACTCTGAAAGAAGTAGAAAGGAGGTTAATGTTGTGAGGCACCTGACACTAATACCGCTGACCGGAAAATTGGCGCAGCAGAAACTGTGGGAGGTCGAATATGCAGTAGGGTGGAAGTGGGAAAAAATCTGCATCAAGTTTTTTTTTATTATTATTTTTTCAGAATGGAGCGGTTTCGTAGTTTTGAATAGCATGTAATCTACCGGGAATAAATGTAATATAGAGATATCAATTCAGATTCTATATCAAATCGACAGCACCCTGGCTCTATTAGTTTCGATTATAAATGAGAAAGTATAGTAGTACATTCATCACATCGACTAGAGAGTGATCTGCACTCAAAAACACACGCTAGCAAACACAAACACACACATATCTGATTAAAGTAAACAAATCTAGATTTCCAGCTGCTTGAATCTTTCACTGTTACTGCTTTAAGTCACACGTTACAAGGTAACGATAAACCGGGTAACTGTTCTTGATAATACCTTAAATTAACTTTTTTTCGTTTTTTCCCTTACTTCACATATAAAATGGGGATAATAAGGTTGTATCTCAAAATTTATCAAGTGAGGTTATGTGTATGTATACTTGTGTATATATAATATAGCCTAAATGTATAGATGGATAGATATAGTGTTCATTGATACACGAGTATTCATCTTTAGCAGGCCCTATATTTATATCTCTATTTAACATATGCCTTGGTATGTAATACTGTACATCTAAATAGATAACAGCGATTTTAGCAATTCCAAAAAAAAAAGAAAAAAGAATGTATACCACATTGCACCATGTCAGTGTAAAAAAAATCAGCGAACAAACTCATGAATTTTGTACATATATGCCTTGGCAGAAGCAAACGAAGTGAAAGAAGATAGAAAGGAGAATCTCGAGCGCAATTATCCCACTCTGCTTCAAGATGTCACGGCACACGGTCAGAGTGACACGAGAAATGAATGCAAGATGCGTCGTGTCTCATCCTGAACGTGTCGGGTTTTGATTTCTCTCCGATTTTAAGATCAGCTCCATGACACCTATTTTCTATGAATTAAAAATTGTACATGGGTGCACATACTGTCAACACACACAAATTACAAAACCATACCGTGTTGGCACAAACTTAGACAAAATCATTATACACAAAGTAAGTTTATTAAAAGAAAATACACACACACACACACACACCGTACACACCGTGCACACACACACACACACCGTACACACCGTGCACACACACACACACACCGTACACACCGTGCACACACACACACACCGTACACACCGTGCACACACACACACACACCGTACACACCGTGCACACACACACACACACACACACCGTACACACCGTGCACACACACACACACCGTACACACCGTGCACACACACACACACATACACCGTACACACCGTGCACACACACACACATACACCGTACACACCGTGCACACACACACACATACACCGTACACACCGTGCACACACACACACACACACACCGTACACACCGTGCACACACACACACACACACACACACACCCACACCGTACACACCGTGCACACACACACACACACACACCGTACACACCGTGCACACACACACACACACACACACACACACACACCGTTCACACACACACACACACACACACACCGTACACACCGTGCACCACACACACACACACCGTACACACCGTGCACACACACACACACACACCGTACACACCGTGCACACACACACACACACACACACTGTACACACCGTGCACACACACACACACACACACACACCGTACACACCGTGCACACACACACACACACACACACTGTACACACCGTGCACACACACACACACACACACACTGTACACACCGTGCACACACACACCCACACCGTGCACACACCACACACACACACACACACACACACACCACACACACACCGTACACACCGTGCACGCACCACACACACACACACACACACACACACACACACACACACCGTACACACCGTGCACACACACACCGTACACACGTGCACACACACCACACACACACACACACGTGCACACACACACACACACACACACACACCACACACCGGCACCACACACACACACACACCACACCATGCACACACACACACACACACACGCACACCATGCACACACACACACACACACCACACACACACACACACACCATCACACACACACACACACACCACACACACACACACACACACCATGCACCACACACACACACACACACACACACACACACACACCACACACACACACACACACACCACACACACACACACACACACCATGCACACACACACACACACACACACACCATGCACACACACACACACACACACACACACCATGCACACACACACACACACACACACACACCATGCACACACACACACACACACACACACACCATGCACACACACACACACACACACACACACCATGCACACACACACACACACACACACACACCATGCACACACACACACACACACACACCATGCACACACACACACACACACACACACCATGCACACACACACACACACACACACCACACACACACACACACACCATGCACACACACACACACACACACACACACCATGCACACACACACACACACACACACACACCATGCACACACACACACACACACACACACACCATGCACACACACACACACACACACACACACACCATGCACACACACACACACACACACACACACCATGCACACACACACACACACACACACACCATCACACACACCATGCACACACACACACACACACACACACCATGCACACACACACACACACACACACACACCATGCACACACACACACACACACACACACCATGCACACACACCAGCACACACACACACACCATGCACACACACCAGCACACACACACACACACACACACCATGCACACACACACACACACACACACCATGCACACACACACACACACACACACACCATGCACACACACACACACACACACACCA